TATTGCCCCCAACAACAATCTGCGTCCTCATTTTACCCACCTCGGAAGGATGGAAGGCTGAGTGCAACCCCCCCAAAGCTTCGGCTGCCCCAAAGCTTCAGGTCAGAACTGGGCCACTGCCAGGCTAGAAATACCTGATGTTGCTTTTGAGGACTTTCATGCAGCTGGCACACTTGAAGGTCGTGTGGGTCTTCTGCTCTTGGCGCACTTGCTGGAGGTTCCCTTCGTGCTTGCCATAATAGAAGTCATTAACCAACATGATCAATTTCCCCTTTTCTGCTTCAGCAATTTTAGGTGACAGACCTGGGCAGTCCGTTTTGGTTATTCCCGGAAAGGTGTGCACCATATCAGGACAGCAATACTGAAAAGACCAACAACTACCATAAATTTTGAACAAAAGTGTTTGCTGAATTGTTAGGAAATCACTAAGAAGCTAATCAAGATGCCTTCCCAGGCTTTTAGCAAAATCGGGTATCTTGAATTCAGAAGGCTATTGAAAGAATATCATCAGTGTTTATTGTAAATGCGGATAATCCTAAATTCATGGCAAATTAATATGCTACCATGAAATGAAAATTGCTTCTGGGGAAAAACAGGCAGAAAATTAAGACAACCAGCAAGTCTTAAGGGAGCAAACATAAGACAATGTGAGAAAAAAATCCCCACAAGGAAGGAAGGAAAAAACCCACAGAAGTCATAGCTCCCACCAGGTTGCATAGAGTTTTCCACTCTTCAACCTCATCTGAGCCTCATTTCAGCTGCTGCAGCAGCAGCAGTCTAGGCTGTGACTCGTAAGAGTGGATTTAGTGGGCGTTTTCTCACTGGAATGGAGACACAGGTTCAGCTCAAACAAAAATGTGGCAGCCAAACAAGCTATTTTAAATGGTATCTGTGCCAGGCAAATGGGAGAAACCACAAGAAAACACAGTCGCCTTCCAATCTATACTAAGAATACAAAAACAGAATAAAATAGTCCCAGATTTTATGTTTAGAAATATATAACTCAGCATTATATCTATAATTGTATTTTACTTCCATCCTGAAGATATTTACCTTTATATGATTTTTTAAAGGCTCCAAAAGGTTAAAATGAATATTACATTTTGGGCATGCCTGTGGAAAAGGGGCTCCATTCTTAATATTACTTGAAGCAACATCTGTGGAAAAATAAAATGGGATATGTTGTTATTTAATGTGTGTTTGAATATATGAGACAGATATGTCAAATTCATTATCCAAAAGCATTCTTTAAGCCATTTGACCGTTCACTGGAAGTGAATGAAGCCCTTATGTGGACTCCCTTTGATCACAAGCTTTGATTCCCCCCACCCCACCCTTCTTGCTAAGTATTTCAGAATGGTCTTTCAAACCCCTTCGGACAAGATTCTCCCCAAAGAAGACATCCGGCGTGTTCTTGGTAGTCTTACCTTTCTCAAGCAGAGCCAGGTCATCTGGAGGTTGAACAGAGGACAGGAGAGGGGACTCACTCTCAGAGCCCGTTTCGTTAGCCTTGGCCTTTTTGGGAGTGATACTACTGGCTTCAGAAGTGGACGGACGCTTGGACAATCCTAGAAATGTTTTAAAATTTAAATTTTGGTAGCTTTTCATAACCAATTACTCCTCAGTCTCTCGAACCCCAGGCCAGGTTACTCCAAGCGACCCTAAAGGCATAATAAGATTGGTCCACAGAGACAGCCCACGCTGCCATCCAAGCCATTTCTTTCTCACTTCGTTCAGCAGGACTGCCATACTAGGAAGGCCCTCCATGCCTTATATCAAAGTCACTGCTATCAAGAGCGTCCCTCCGTGGTTCCCCCCCAGCCTTCCTTAGGTGTTTGCACAATACTTGATGACTATGAGCAAACCCCACTCCAAGTTACCTCCTAGTTGGCTAATGAAACATCTCCAAGAAAACAACCAAGCTCAGAAAGCACCAAGGGCCCCACAGCCCCCAACTAAATATTTAGCTTTTTAAAATCCCATTTTTGCATCCAACCACAAGCAGAATGAAAAACCTGGACATACCCGCCGTGTTCATGGGTGATCCACTCTGGTATTGTGACCCTCCTGAATTCTGCCTTACGCCAAAGGTCAGGCCCGAAGTTCTATCTGGGGTCACCTGTGGAGGATGTGTTCAAGAGCTCAGCCACGGGGCTCTTTGATTCTACAGCCATTTTCTTCAAAAGATTCACACACACAGAGCCAAGTTTACCCTTTTAAGGGTTCTATGCCAGCAAAATGCACTTTCTGTTGGGCCCTTCCCCATTTCCAAAGGCCCACAGAGGGGCTCCAACTGGCCCAGAATCCTCGGTGCTCCTGCCCCGTGTCAACGGCCCCCTGTGCTCAGAACCCTGGGGGCGATGAGTTCCCTCCCCTCTCGACATGTATGGTTGTGCGACTGTTGTTTACTTTTATTATTTGTATGCCGCCCTTCTCCGGGAGGACTCAGGGCGGCGAACAATTCAAGGGGGGAAAAGGGGAAAATAAAAAACAAAAAAAAAATAAAAAAAGAAAACAAAAGTCGAACAACAATAAAT